CCTTATAAATAACCATAACACCATAGTTTAATATTTTTTACAGTCCGTATAGGCTATCTTGAATATTACTGAAAGACCTGGAGATCCTGGAAATTTTAAGAATTTAAACTTTGAAATGTGTACCAAGTATGCACTTTTCTGTAGCAGTGTCATCTGATGTCAGAACACATTTTCCTGTGTGTGTGTGTGTATGTGTGTGTGTGTGTGTGTGTGTGTGTGTGTGTGTGCGCGCGCGCGCGCGCATGCGCATGTGCATGTGAACTTGGGTTCATGTAACTTTCCCCATACCATGTGGGATTCTGAGTCAATATGAAAACAGCTGACAGCCATAGATAAAGATGATTATAGCAAAAGATTTAATCAATAACCACTTTTATCTCAGCAGCACACATTATCTTTCACCTTTAACAATTATTTGCATAAATGTCTCTTCTTAGCTAGTCTCAGATTAAATAAAACTGGGCTATCCGAAGAGGCAGGGAAACGCAAGAAGAGAAGTAGCAATTTTGAATGTCACAAAAATGCTGTGGTAAAGACTAAGTGGTGTAACTTTATTTAATGATATAATACTGCAAGGTCACCACAAACCACATTAATGTAATTACATCACTTCTGCACACATATATATCTTGTCTCTTAGGAAATAAAGTTCAAACTGAATCCAAGCATATTGCTGGCAAAATAATAAAATCATGTTTCTGACGAATATGTTATATAATTTAATAATAAAATGTCTTAATAAAAGATTGAATAATCTTTTATCAAATAATTTTCATGATAGATTCAATCTGTATATATTAGTGACTTCAACCATGTATTAGGAAGTTAATGCTTTTGTTTATTTTATTTAGTTTTTTATAAACCTAATACCCCAGTACATTTATTCATGTCTCAGGTTCTTTAAAAAAAATTTCTTATATTCTGCATAGTTTTCAATGTATTTATTTTTTTTATTATACTTGAAGTTCTGGGATACACGTGCAGAACGTGCAGGTTTGTTACATACGTATACATGTGCCATGGTGGTTTGCTGCACCCATCAACCTGTCATCTACATTAGGTATTTCTCCTAATGCTATCCCTCCCTTAGGGACCCACCCACCTGACAGGCAATATGAGATATTCCCCCCCTATGTCCATATGTTCTCATTGTTCAACTCCCACTTATGAGTGAGAACATGCAGTGTTTGGTTTTCTGTTCCTGTATTAGTTTGCTGAGAATGATGGTTTCCAGATTCATCCATGTCCCTGCAAAGTACATGAGCTCATCTTTTTTTAATGGCTGCATAATATTCCATGGTGTATATGTGCCAAATTTTCTTTATCCAGTCTGTCATTGATGGGCTTTTGGGTTGGTTCCAAGTCTTTGCTATTGTGAGCAGTGCTGCAATAAACATAGGTGTGCATGTGTCTTTATAGAATGATTTATAATCCTTTGACTATATAGCCAGTAATGGGATTGCTGGGTCAAATGGTATTTCTGTTTTAGATCCTTGAGGAATCGCCATACTGTCTTCTACAATGTTTGAACTAATTTACACTCCCATTAACAGTGTAAAAGTGTTCCTATTTCTCCATATCCTCTCCAGCATCTGTTGTTTCCTGACTTTTTAATGATTGCCAGTCTAACTGGTGTGAGATGGTATCTCACTGTGGTTTTGGTTTGCATTTCTCTAAAGACCAGTGATGATGAGTCTTTTTTCATGTTTGTTGGCCACATAAATGTCTTCTTTTGAGAAGTGTCTGTTAATATCTTTTGCCCACTTTTGAATGGGATTTTTTTTTTCTTGTAAATTTGTTTAAGTTCTTCATAGATTCTTGATATTAGCCCTTTGTCAGGTGGATAGACTGCAAAAATTTCTTCCATTATATAGGTTGCCTATTCACTCTAATGATAGATTTTGTTTATATTAAAAGGTGTTATGCTTGAAGAGTCTGGAAGAGTGATTGAGAGTCAGTAAAATGACAGCTTTAAAAGTCAATGTTATTTTTAAAGACTTTAGTTATCTAAAATGCTTTCCCTACATTTTTAAGTAAAACAAGTGAGTATATTGTCTAGTAAATCGGTATTGACTCCAAGGCCTCGGGAAGAGGGTCCAAGTTGACGGATGAGATATCTTAGTTTTTACTATGAGGCTTTGTAGCCTATTGGTAATTGTTGGAGACAGCATCCTAAATTGAAATTATCGAAGTATGGGAGAAGCCTATTGATGAGAAAATGAGAGAATTGGGGGATATACCCATGAAATTGTGCAATCTGTGTATGTGTACAGTTCTCTCTGGGTATACACACTAGATTATTGAGCTAGCAAGAGTAGAGTCTGAAATCTTGATATTCCTCTCAATGTTTATTCCTTCTATTATTCTCCTAAAGTGTTAATTCCAGTGTTAAAAAGTTCTAGCCAGCTCTAAATGGACCAAAAGGAACAGAAAAAAAGCTATTATCATCAAAGTTTATGGAAGTTCTTTAAAGAGAGGGGACGCAGACTTCACGAACCCTGACCAATGGCTGTATCCATGGCCTTGGCAGCAAAATAAGGAACTTCCTCCAAGGCTAAGGAGATTCCCAGGGAATGGAAAGTCTCCCATTTTAGCATTAAAATTTTTCTTTTAATGATAAACATTGAAGAGTCTTAGTGAAAACGTGTCTGTACCCAGCATGTGTGCCAAAGTTGCCAATTTCCTTATAGGATATCATGTATCTTTGTGGGCCATTTAAATAAACCCAAAATTACCTTTCCTAGCTAAATAATTACTCGTAGATTTGTTAACTATATTTTTAAATCACATATATCCTTTTGTTTGAAGTTAGGATTATTAAACAAAATTAATCTAAGAAAAGCATTTATAGCATTGGTGATATAATTTCAGGTCTGCTGTAAAGTATATACAGGAATTATTTTTTCTCTTCTTTATTTTGATGTGTGTGTGTTTTAAAGAAACCTTCTGCTTTTTATGTAGCTTTGGCATTTTATTCTGTGTCTGTCCTATTCTTAAAAAAAAAAAAAAACTATGTTAAAAACTTCATGTTTTAGACAAATTACTTTGACATTATTATCAAAGTAGAAATAAAATTACGATAAACCAAAGAAGTACATTATACATTTGGATAGAAACCATATATAATTCCAAATCTTCAAAGTAAAAATCACACAGTCCACACTACCAGAGACACATAGTATTTCTATTCATAAGCTTAATTTATTCACTTTTTCATATTTTCTTTATGTAGCACTTGACAGATTTTTATCAGTAAGAGGTTTTTTCCTTTTCTTAAACTGTGAATGAAGAGCATACATTTTAAATAGCATGATTACCCTCTGTGCTAAGCACTGCTCTCAGAAAACAAATCAGAGATGGAAATTTGAGAGAGTGTGGGAGAGGAACTGGAATATAAACCTGAAGCTAGATAACCAGCTACAGAAAGGCTTTTGTGACTTTCTAAAAATTCATATGGAAGCAATGTTTGGTACTTATATATGCTCATGATTAATTAGCAGAAAAGTTTTTCATTTTAGCAACATATAAAAAATAGTACTACAATAGGCTATGAGCTATCAATGGCTTTGACAGTATTGTTAGTAATGATGAGATTATAATCACATGCTATCATTTGTTCTTTTACCTACACTGTCTCGTTTATGAGCCACAGACAATTCCAGAATTTCTTTCCTTTTTCTTTTTTTGAGACAGTCTCACCCTGACATTGAGGCTGGACTACAGTGGCCCAATCTTGGCTTACAGCACCCTCTGCCTCCCAGGCTCAAGTGATCCTTCCACCTAAGCTCTGGAGTAGCTAGAACTACAGACACATGTAGTTCCACTAATTTTTGTATTTTTTGTAGAGATAGGATTTCACCATGTTGCCCAAGCTGGTCTTGAATTGAGCTCAAGCAGTCTGCATGCCACTGCCTCCCAAAGTGCTGGGATTACAGGTATGAGCCACCGCGCCAGGCCCAGAATTTCTTCTTAAAAAATAGTGTCAAGTTTCCTCAACATCCTTCAGCCTTTCAAAACATTGACCATCAAAACTTAGCAACAATGAAAAGTTTATATTTTTACACTATCTGATCATCTGGTGGTGATGATAATATTTTAAAAATGAGCTCACAATCAATGAGGGCTGACAGCCTGAATAATATTACTTCAATTACGTTATTTACAGTTGCTAATCAAGAACATGCAGCATAAATTGTTTCAAGACATTAGAAATGCACGTTAAACTAGAGAACAGTGTAGTAAGCAAACAAACATCGTTAGAAACAAAAAACTGTTTTGTGAAACCCTGAGATTTTCTTCACTGCACTTTTCTCTTTGTAGTATTAGCCAAATGTCCTAAAAGCTACTGATTAGCTGAGAAGCTGAATCTGTTAATATAGACTCTAAATCTTTAAAACAACTCTTCAAGAAACTGGAGTGGTGCCAGGTATTCAAAAGCCTTCTGTAAAATGAGTTAACCTATTAGTTATTTATTAGAATAAAAGGCAATGTCACAGACAAGAAGCCAGGAGACCTGGGTTGTACCTTAGCATTTTCTCCAGTTGCTGCACTGTCGTGGGAAAGTTCCTTAATAAGTTGAACTGTTCAGTTTATTATATGTATTTCTGTGATAGGGTCTTGCTCTGTTGTCCAGGCTAGAGTGCAGTGGCATGATCTCAACTCACTGCAACCTCCACCTCCTGGGTTCAAGCAATTCTCATGCTTCAGCTTCCTGAGAAGATGGGACTACAGGTGTGGGCCACCACACCCCGCTAATTTTTGTATTTTTAGTAGAGATGAGGTTTTACCATGTTGCCCAGGTTGGTCTTGAACTCCTGGCCTCAAGTGATGGGTCCCCCTTGGCCTCCCAAAGTGCAGGAATTACAGGTGTATACCACTGTATTCCACCTCTTTGATTTAAAAACATGGTTGGTCTGAAACATTTCTGAGAACCTTTCCCATTTCAAAGTGCTACAACTACAAGGGTATTCTGAAGGGATGGAAGGCAATCTCACACCTACCATTCTGTTCCCGCTGCACTCCTGCCGCCAGAAGGTCGGGCTCCCCAAGGCTGATGTCATTGAGCCTGGTCCCCAGACACTCCATGCAGAGGTGCTTGCACCACTCCTCAGCCTCCAGCTCTGAAAGCAACCACAACATCACCAGTTAAGCAATGCTCCCTAGGAATGATGGAATAATATTCCCTGAATCATTTTTCCAGGTAATTGGCAAGAGTTTAAGAACCCACTTTTAAAAAACCACAAAAAACTATATTTAGGAAGTGAAAAAAAGTCCCAGTGTTTACTTCCCACTACTTGAGATTATATTTTTAAGTGGTTTATTTTATTTGTAGTACTTTACCTTATTTACAGATAATAGTCTGGGAATATTTGTTTCCTATATAGCAAAGTTTAGGTTGATTTTATTTTGGGAGGAAAATTATTTAAAAGAATAAATTACCCAAGTTATCCCACTACATATATATATATATATATATGTGTGTGTGTGTGTGTGTGTGTGTGTGTGTGTATATATATATATATATATGTATATGTATATATATACTTCAAAACATGCTTTACATGATAAATAATTTTATATCAATGTAAAAATTAAATATGAAATAAAATATATAAGCGAATAGTTGAAAAAATGTCAAGTCAAACAAATGAACGCTTTCCTGAAAGTTACTTAGATTTTTATGAGTTGAAGATCGGATCCCAAAGTCATTCTAAATTGAAATGGATCATAAATCAGCTCTAGAATGTGATCATTTTCTCTGTAAACAATACAAATTAGGCTATTCTTCTTTATTTTTCTTTAAATTAGGGTAGAATCTTAATCTCTTCTCTTTGGAAAATTCTAATTACCTAAGACATTGATGAGATCACTGCTTTTTTTTTTTTTTTCCAACTATGATCAACTCCAAATTTCTTTATAAACACATTTTTCCCTTGGTTAAAATATTAGAATTTGTTACACTGACACAAAATACTGCTGTATCTAAACATTCACAGGCTTTCCTAAATGTAAATGAATTTGACTTTAGTGTAAGCCCTGTGTGAGTGAGGTAGCCAAGGGTTAGGGTCATACCTGTGTCTCAAATCATTGGTCAACACCAAAACAGAACTGGAAATCAACCGAGTCTTCCAGCTATTATACCATGCAGAAATTTGAAATTTGGGGTCTGAGGTTTAATATTTTAAGCCAAGCTCCAATATCACTGTACGGAAATTGGATAAGAACTTTCCATTGACATCTGCCCAGAGAAGTTTCTGACTTTTCCATGTAACATAAATCTGTACTAGAGCAGTTTAATATGGATTTTCTGTAAATCTCTTGTTGCTCTCTGTGGATGACACCTAACCCTTTGCCTTGGCATTTTAATATCCCCATAAAAAGTTATCTGTGACAGATTTTCTTAACTTCAGGGATCTGACTACCAATTCTGGGCTCTCCTCAATGGTCAACACCATCAAATTTAGGTAATATTTTCTTTCTGAGCTTAGTCACGCTGCCTCTGCAGCAAAAATAAGTTTCATTACTGAGATGTGAAGACAAATTTGTCATTTATTTTTAGTTTTTTCAAGACTGTGCATACTTTTAAAAGTAAAGAAAAAAGAATATGCAGTTCCTCATGGGATCCTATTCTAATAAAAATAATAGTTCCAAAGTTCCCATCATAAATTGAAATAAAATTTCCATTTTATTTACAAAAATACAGTTAGCATGTATCAGGGACTATCCCCTCACTGGTGTAAGTCACACCATCAAACTCTGTCAAGGATCAGGGAGATTTTCAGGAGGACCTGGCTCCCCACTTGGATGGAGTCAGAGGCCTGGGATTACCTCAGGCATTTCCTTAGGAACCCAGAAAGTAACCCTTTCCAACCAGAAGGCTACCAATATAATAAATGTACCATTTGCTGAGGCTATGGCTTACTTAAAACACACACACACACACACACGACCCAAAAACCTCAAACAAAACTTTTTTCTTCTAGGAAGCAAATGCCAGACTTCATAGAAAAATTTCATAGGAGCAACAATAGCATATATTGAAAATACTTTTATTAGATATATACATATTTATAAAATGTATAAAAGATTTAAAAGATTTTCTAACCACCAAACTCTTACAGGTTAAACCAATTCACATGCTATGTATCAAGAAATGCTTGAAATCTCTCTCAGCAGGACACTATGATTATTGCTTTTCTTTTAAATTTTTAATGTTTTAAGTTTTTCACAGGATTCCACAATTTAAAAATAATGTAAAGTTGCAAACAATTAATATCTTTTCTGCATTATTTCCAGTTCTCTACACATGAAGGTGAAAATATTTAATGTGCTACTTGGGGGTAAAAATAAGAAAGTTAAATATACCAAAGCACCTTGGTGCCAATGTTCTCCTTAAGCAGTAAGTCAGTGCATGCCCAGATATTTAAGAAATATTTAAGAAATGTGATTTGCTCCTTTTGCTCCTTCATTGTATTAAGTCTTTTGTCCTAGGGTTTAATGAGACAGAGCAATCATACAATAAAAGGCTTCCATGAAACTGGAGTGGACCTTTTCAAGCAGAACTAAATGCAGAATTTCTGTAAGTGCTGGAACAAAGAAGTCTCCCATCACAGCAATGAGAGGTATTCATGGGCTCCTACTGGCACATAAAGATGTCTTTTGCAGCCAGTGCTGCAGCATTTTAGTAGCGTGGTAGCATATAAGAATAGAAATAGCAAGCATGATAAAAGTAGAGTATGTCCTGTCACACTAAAGACTGAACTGTTAACTATTTCAAAGAGACAGAGAGAGAGAAGAAAGATTCTTACAATTCAGGGCTCATTCCTTTAACAAATATTTATTGTGAACTCTCTATATGCCAGGCGCTGTGCTAGGAAGTTATATGAAAAACACACCATTTCTGCTTTCAATAATCATAGAATCTGGTGGGATTGGCAGGTGGGTTTGGTATGTGGTGATCTGGAAGGCTGTTAGCCTTCCTAGGAGAGACTGAGGAACTATGACAAAGGTTCAGCAGAGTGAAAGGTATAAGGGCAAGCAAGGAGAAAATGACGATGTGTGTTCGTGAGTCTGCAGGGCAGCAAGAGTGACATCCTGTAACAGCAGGGGATAGCTCTGAGTTCATGTAGAAAATGTCAGAAACAGTATCAGTTCATTCTTTTCACGACTTTCTAGCATTTGGCTCAATTAGATCAGTCCTAAAACTTCACCTCAAAATAATTAACCTTTGTAGTTTGTATACTTGATCTGTTTCGTTGCAGATAAGCTGAATTTCTTTGATTTTAGACAAAGCTTTGGTTTTATAAAGTTATTTTTGATGGTCGCTACCTTTCAAATATTAAAACCATAATTTTTAGTTCTTCTTTCTTAGGCAAGCTGTATGTATTAATTTTTTTTTCCAAAATGTTTTTTTTACTGCATTTTAGGTTTTGGGGTACATGTGAAGAACATGCAAGATAGTTGCATAGGTACACACATAGCAGTGTGATTTGCTGCCTTCCTCCCCTTCACCTATATCTGGCATTTCTCCCCATGCTATCTCTCCCCAACTCCCCACCCCTGACTGTCCCTCCCCTATTTCTCCCCACCAGACCCCAGTGTGTAGTGCTCCCCTCCCTGTGTCCATGTGTTCTCATTGTTCAACACCCGCCTATGAGTAAGAACATGTGGTGTTTGATTTCCTGCTCTTGTGTCAGTTTGCTGAGAATGATGGTTTCCAGGTTCATCCATATCTCTACAAAGGACATGAACTCATCGTTTTTGATGGCTACATAATATTCCATGGTGTATATGTGCCACATTTTCCCTGTCCAGTCTATCATCGATGGGCATTTGGGTTGGTTCCAGGTCTTTGCTATTGTAAACAGTGCTGCAATGAACATTCGTGTGCATGTGTCCTTATAGTAGAACGATTTATAATCCTTTGGGTATATACCCAGTAAAGGGATTGCTGGGTCAAATGGATTTCTATTTCTACATCCTTAAGGAATTGCCACACTGTCTTCCACAATGTTTGAACTAATTTACACTCCCACCAACAGTGTAAAAGTGTTCCTATTTCTCCACACCCTCTCCAGCATCTGTTGTCTCCAGATTTTTTATGATCCCCATTCTAACTGGCGTGAGATGGTATCTCAATGTAGTTTTGATTTGCATTTCTCTGATGACCAGTGATGATGAGCATTTTTTCATATGTTTGTTGGCCTCATGTATGTCTTCTTTTGTAAAGTGTCTGTTCATATCCTTTGCCCACTTTTGAATGGGCTTGTTAGTTTTTTTCTTGTAAATCTGTTTTAGTTCTTTGTAAATTCTGGATATCAGCCCTTTGTCAGATGGGTAGACTGCAAAAATTTTTTCCCATCCTGTTGGTTGCCAATTCACTCTAATGACCGTTTCTTTTGCCGTGCAGAAGCTGTGGAGTTTGATTAGGTCCCGTTTGTCTATTTTGGCTTTTGTTGCCAATGCTTTTGGTGTTTTGGTCATGAAGTCCTTGCCTACACCTACATCCTGAATGGTTTTGCCTAGATTTTCTTCTAGGGTTTTTATGGTGTTAGGTCTTATGTCTAAGTCTTTAATCCATCTGGAGTTAATTTTAGTGTAAGGTGTCAGGAAGGAATCCAGTTTCTGCTTTCTGCACATGGCTAGCCAGCTTTCCCAACACCATTTATTGAACAGGGAATCCTTTCCCCATTGCTTGTTTTTGTCAGGTTTGTCAAAGATCGAATGGTTGTAGATATGTTGAGTTGCCTCTGAGGCCTCTGTTCTGTTCCATTGGTCTATATCTCTGTTTTGGTACTAGTACCACGCTGTTTTGATTACTGTAGCCTTGTAGTACAGTTTGAAGTCCAATGGTGTGATGCCTCCTGCTTTGTTCTTTTTGCTTAGAATTGACTTGGCTATGTGGGCTCTCTTTTGGTTCCATATGAAGTGTAAGGTGTTTGTTTCCAGTTCTTTGAAGAAGGTTATTGATAGCTTGATGGGGATAGCATTGAATCTGTGAATTACTTTGGGCAGTAATGGCCATTTTCATGATATTGATTCTTCCTAACCATGAACATGAAATGTTTCTCCATCTGTCTATGTCCTCTCTTATTTCGTTGAGCAGTGGCTTGCAGTTCTC